GACTTTCTGTGTGCGGGCCGCCGCCGCCGTGACCGCCGCCGCGAGCGCAAGATGTGCGGTAACGGGGTAGTACTGGCAAAGCGGGCCGTATGCACACCGAGGTCTTGTGTAAGAGGTAGATACCCGTACTCTCGCTTGGAAGTTGGGTCATGGAAATCATCGACTCCAACTTGCCCCGACTCGTACGGGCGATGAAGGCGCGGCGGAGGTAGCGCCAGCTCGCCAGCGCCGCGGGGTGGTCGGGCGCCTGTGAACTCTGGCGTTCGGCCCGAGTTGGGCTGGACTATGCCTCCCTCTCGTCAATACGTCTCGCGCGCTTCCCTACCGTCGCGGCTGGAGGATGCTGAAGCAATCTTGCAGGCTACAGTGTGCTATAGGTGCCTCTGCCCTAGGTTAGGGTTAGTTAAGTACATATGGCCTTGGCCTCGGCAGTTTTGAACAGTGTATATTAACGCGGTTAAATAACGGTTAAATATGCTTGGTTAAAAATGGAGCAATAATCACCGCGCCTTAGCGCAAACGCGGATCAGCCTGACAGGCCACGCGACATGTCCGATCAGTGATCGCGGTGCCACGCTGCTGAACGTGCGGAGACGTGTTCGAGTTCGAGTTCAGTGCTTTCCCCAGCGACCACTACCATGAAGCTCTTCTCCGTCGTATCTGCCCTTCTCTTTGGCGTCGCTGCCGTTGTGGCTGCCGAGGAGCCGCCTACTGAGCTCAAGATCGACACGACGTTCATGCCTGAGGACTGCACGGAGAAGGCTACGACTAACGACAAGATCAAGGTTCACTACGTGCGTGTGGCTCTGTATCTGGACGGTCAGTTTCAGATGTTGATTGTGCCTACAGACCGGCACTCTCTGGTCAAACGGTAACAAGTTCGACTCGAGCTACGACCGCGGTCAGCCCTTGCCGCTCCGCCGTGAGTGCCTATCTCGCAGTACAGAGTTCGTCCGGTACTAATGCCCTTTGTTCAGTCGGTGTCGGTCAGGTCATCCAGGGCTGGGACCAGGGTCTTCAGGGTATGTGTGTTGGTGAGAAACGCACACTCACGATCCCATCGCAATTGGCATACGGTACGTTCAACTCTCTCCGCGACTCCGGAAATGCATGTACTGACACCTACTGCAGGCCCTCGGGGCTTCGGCAACACCATCCCCGCCAACTCCGCTCTTGTCTTTGAGACAGAGCTCATCGGCCTCGAGCCGCACAAGAAGAAGGAAGAGCTCTAAAGCGCAACTTGTCACTGCTTGCTTCTCAAATGTATATGTAAAACATCTTGCACTCCCACGGATCTCATTGCTCTACAATGTTTGGTTTCACGGCCAAGGTTCACTTCAAATGCGGTCAGGGAACGTCCGGGATCCAACGTTTCTCGCATTTTGCTCTCCTCTGCAGACGACTTCGATCTCTTTCGCGTACAGCTCCAGGCACGCAGGGAGATGCGTTACTGACGCGATCTATCACATGAAGTCAAGTCACTTTGCTATAAGATTGAGTGTATTTGGGCGGATATCGAGGCAATAGCCAAATGTACAAGAGAGGGATGTACTGGATTAGAGATAGAAGAAAAAAGAGAATGTCCGGGGGCGGCCTTGTGGTCCGCGTGATTGAGTCTCCATCATGAGGGCAGTATCCGCGAGTTATCTACGAGCCGACGTAGTTGCTGTAAGCCGGGCAGAGGGCCTCCCAAGCAGCTGAGATAGAGCATCAGTTCGTGATCATAAATTGGAGAGGGTAAGCCTACCAGTGGGCGAGCCGTTCTCTTCATTGGAAGCAACATCAGTAGGCGCCTCCGCCATGACGACTAGCAAACGGGTCAGTTTGGCAGGCCACATGGGATGACGGAGACTTGGACACACCAGCCAGACCAAAGTTCAGATGGAAGTCTATATGCGAGAGTCAGCGCAGAGCCGCGGATATAATGAGACAGAGAACGCACCGATGTGGCAATGAAGGAACCAAGGTCCAGGGTTCTCAGTAGTGAAACGGATGGTCACCTCATCCCCGGTATTGCCGGTGTTGACGACATCGCGCACAATCGGGTCATCGTAGCTGCATGTATACATGAGCGTAATATAGAGAAAGAAACGGAAAGACGAACTTGTATGTATCGTTTCCTGCACTACGAACGACCCAGAATGTATGTCCGTGCAAATGGAACCTGCCAACGATCAGCGCAAGACCAAACAGCCAAGGTAAGCGCTTACGGATGAGGGGAGCCAGCGGAACCACCAGGAATGGTGATCTCAACTGTCTGGTCTCTGTCCAGGTAGTACACGCTACCAGATGGTAGGAGACTGGATGCGCTTGTGTTGCCGCTGAGAATCTGGAGGAGAACGGGGACTGAAGGCGAGATGTACTCGTCGCCGTTGATGGTGAATGCGGTTCCCGTCTGTGATCCTACACGTCAGTAAATGGGACTTCGCATGACAAATACACCCACATAAGCGATATCAAGTTCTAGATTGACGTCTGCGTTTCCTGCACCTGCTGTCCCGGGGACGGGAGTTGACACAAGAGGGTGTAGGTCAGTCTCGACGAGAGCTTGAGAGATAGACGAGTTTGTGGTCGGTTCAACCTCATCAACCCCGCTGTAGCGTAGAATAGCACTGTTCAGGCCGTCGTCGTATGTAGTGTTGCCGGTGTTCGGGAGTGCGCGGATCCCTGAGAGGGCCATGAGGGTACGTCACATCATCATCGAGAGGAACGTTTACAGTAGTTATCGGGCGACTGGTCGGCGTTCAGGACGAACGAGTAGCGCTGACCGGCGTAAATTTGGATCTGGTCGACAACGAGCGGCTGCACGTTCACGCCTTCCACCTCGATGATAGTCATGTTGTGTCCATCGATGGAGAATTCGAAGTTGGGGTCGCTTGGAGACAAAAGCGTGAGCCATGAGCGCGATATGATCGGCGGAGAATCTTACCAAGACAAAGAGATAAGGCGCATGCGGTAGCTATGAAACATATGAGCTCGGAGAGTAAGATACGCGCGGGTGGTTGAAGCGTACCGGGAACCCGAGGTGACCGTGATCACTGCAAGGTCTGCTGTGAGGTCGCTTCCCGTGCTATCGCTCCATCGACCAAGCCCGTTGATGAGTGTCGAATTTGCTGTGTTCACCGCTGCAGCCTGTGGGCTAACAAAGTGGTACCAATCCTACTCGTCCCCTGAGCTTACGCAAAGTCAAGAACCCTGACCTGACTTACCGAAAGAGTGATGATTGTTGATTCGTCGTCGACATCATAGAGATCTGCGTGCGGATCCGAGGGGTCTGCCATGCCATCAGTTGAGGACGCCTTTTAAGGAGACGTTTTCGGGACGTACCGTAGATAACTAAAGCGCCACGGACACCTGTTTGGGGTCATAGTCAGCATTTTATGGTTGGCGATAAATAAGGGTCCTTGCCGTCACAGTACTGGTCATGGTAATGGCTAATCGTCAACGTGAGCTTTGGAGCGAGAGCGACGTAAATGAAGCTTTGCTTGCCTGTGGTACCCTATGAAGCGGTGGACGCAAAGTCAGAATGAGGGTCCGGGAGAGAGGGAACTATACGTGCAATATGTGCCTGCACGTAGGGCGTGAGATTGAGAAAATGCAAAGACTGCAGCGAACGTACCAGCCTGATCCGGAACACTGAAGTTGTACAAGCTTCACGGATTGAGCCGGAATTCGCGAGGAGTGCGATGAGGAGGCTCACAATGAGTTTCCCGGGATGATTGGGCATTGCGTGACCGAGTCTACTCCATCCATTTCATTGGTATGATTTTGAAAGAGGCCGTGCCAGTGAACAGTGGTAACCAAGTCAAGGGTGGTATCGTCGAGGTTATTCACAACATTGAGTTGAAAGTTGTCGCCCTGCACATACGCGTTGAGATCAATTCTGTCTGAGAAAGACAATTGCATGAGACATACCGTATTGCCGGAGAGAAAGGGAGCAGGGAAGGTGCCGTTGACAAGGGATGCCCTAGTTGAATCAGTCAGCACTTCTGCCGCAAAGTAGAATTCGACCAACATACGAGCGAGTGAAGCCATCCGGTGAGATATCCGCGTTGGCGATGGTGAGCGTCTGGCTCACAACTGCCGCGAACGTCGGTGTGCCGAGAAGTACGAGCGAAGAAAGGTAATGATTGAGAAGAAGCATGACCTTCTGAGCGGGAACAGAGTCAACGAGAGTATGACCGGTGTCTTGGATGCAGAGAGAAGGGACAGGGCCTATAGTTGTCCGTCTCTTTTGGGGTCCTCTTATACGACACTGCCAAACGTCCAATAAACCTATGAATAGGTAAGCGAATCTGATTGACGATCTCAAAGAAGGACGCACCGGTAACACGACGTACGGACAACACTCAGGAAGCGATTTGCCGCGCAGTGGGAATGGACGTATTCGCGTCTCGCAAAGCTGTGATTGTAATGAACTGGCATCAAAGCGACTGCTTTGCAACTGCACAGCCAGTCAACACTTGACACTGGGACATGTAGAACTTGCGCGTATGTACGTCCAAATGACGCCAGGCTCTTGAGCACCAATAGGCCCTCACGAAATAATGGAGCTTCGACTTCTTCGCGAGACGGCAAGCACATCTCTGCGCCGCGCATCCCGCCGATTGACATTTGAGTTTAGCCAGATCTGTACCATTGCTGCGCCGCGAGAGAAGACTATCAAGTTCTTCGCTAGCTGCGGACACCACATAACAGGTAATGTCCGTCCCGCTCTGCGATACACCCGGCGCTCATCTCCAGATCGTAGCGTAAAGGAGTCGGCTGCGGGGACCCGACGAAAGCCATGATTGGCGGAGGAGACCGCCGTTCGCCACGCTCACCGTGGCAGCGAGTGTACTGCGCAAGGCAGTCTATCCGTTGATCGCACGTCTTGTACCAGGAGTGGCGAAGCCCATGGAGCTGTTTTGGCAAGCTCAGCGTTCGAACTCAGGCTTAGTATGTGCGCATGACAGTCAGGAGCAAGGTGCGTTAACATCAAATCACTTGCTGGCGCCCACGCGGCGATCACCGAACATCCTCGAGCCCAACCACTCTTTCACCAAGATTATGCTTTCACGATATAGCAGCAACTACAATGATTGTAGCCACAATGAGGCTCCAGATATCGGGTCACGCCGAATCTCTAGGAAGGCCTCCTATCACTCTATCGAAGTCGGCAAAGGATCTCTCGGCCCGGGTCGCGTCGCTCGCCAACGCCACCCGAAGGAAGGCTGCGCAGCGTAGTTCCATGTATGTACTACAGACTAGTCTTGCACAGCTCAAGAGAGGGCGCCTATCAATGATAGTATCAAAGGGAACATACCGAGTTATCACAAACGGCGCCGCTATTTACTTGCAAAGACGAGGCGCTGGCTTACCTCACAGAGGTCGAACTATGAGTCTATGGAGCTGTACTTGTGCTATTCGCAATTCAGACACAGATGGTATTTAGTTAAGGGACATCACCCTCGCGTACACGCCTATATACACTCAGAGTGATAGAAGCTGTCGTCGTTGAAATCGTCGCCCAAACATGCCTGGTAGTTATCGTCCCCACAAAATCCACACCCGAAATCCTCGTCCTCGTCCTCTCCAGTATTGCCGGTGGATTCATCCCAGTCGACCTCTAAGCCCTTTATATCCTCCAACTGCCGCACTGTTCCTTCATCTATCTCACAGACCTCGACGCGTGGTACTGACACCCCGTTTTCGGCTTTGCGCTTAGAACGGGAGCGGAGAGAGCGCAGCGCCGGATGAAGGCCGGTAAGCTGTTCAACTTGTGATCAGGATTGGAGCAAGCGACTCCCGTCAGGCTCACTTCATGCAGCGCGAGGAAGAGCATCACACTTGCGACGCCTTTTTGGGGGTGACATTGAATGGCCAAGATCGTTCATATACCTCGACATTGGGTATGGCAGACGCGTCCCACACGTTTAAGAGCTGACATACATAGTAAGTCAAGTTCCGGGAGGGCGACGATAGCTTGACCCTCGCGCAATCGCGCTTCCACGAGACGAAGCTGCTGATGGCGGTCGGGAGGTTTTGGGAGGCATATGACCCGCACCGGCCGTAGGACGCCCAGTTACTGATGCGCTGGCTGCTGAAAGATGTGATCAGCTCACGTCGTCTATGGGGATGCAAATTCGCACCTCCGCGTGAAGACGCTCCACGAGATGCACTAGCTCTCATCGAAGCCCGTGTACCGCGCACTCCGCGTACGCCGCTTGTACTCCTGGCAGACGATTTCTCCGTTTTCTCGCGGGCTAATCGCGCTTGCTCCTCCTTGGCTTGTCGTTCACGTTCTTCTCTTTCCCTGATCTCTCTTTCTCTCCGCTCCGCCTCTGCTCGTTCTTCCTCTTCACGCTGGCGTTGCTCCTCGCGCTGCCTGACTTCTTCCTCCAACGCAGCTTCGTCCTGAAGCGCAGGTGAGTAACGACACCGCGCGAATGGCATGTAGTGTACGGCCGTACCGCTGAAGCACCCTGCCACTCCTCGTCAAAGATCAAGCGCGCGGTATCTTCCGTCTTCCCCAGCAGGGACACATACATGTTCAGCAGAGTATTGGTCTGTTCCAGCTGAGCAGCCAAGACCTTCACCGGCAGTCAGACAACAGCAAGGCCAGACAGAATGTCGACGCACCTCCGTTCCTGACTCGGTTGCGGCCAAGGCCTCGTTATACATCCCAAAGGCGGCGTTCAACTTCCGCAACGTGTACAAGTCGTTGCTCAGCCGTTCTTCTCTGGTTTGGGCCGTGTCCTGTTCCACATGTTCCTCTTCCGGCGCGACCTCGGTCACTTCAACATCGTCTCCGCCGTCCTTCACAGGCGTAGCGGGGTCTTCATGTCGGGGGAGCAAGCTGAAAGGACGTGACTGAGATGGCCGATCTGCCAGGGACAGCTCAGATAATGATAGATCATCTTGAACAGACCCGGACGGTAAAGTTTCGGAGAGTAGTCTCGATCCACTGGCAGACGGTTGGTAGTTGTACGAGTCAAAGGAGTCCATTGAGAAGGATCAAGGATGACGCAGAGCTATCGTGGTCGTCGTGGTTCAAGTTCTGGGTTCACCCTTCGCGTCTAATGCGCGTTACGTCACGCGAAGTTACAGTTTCGTTGATCACGACAGGCAGCTACACTCTCCCCGGACTTTGACCACCTCCATGGTCGTTATAGAATGATTTCAATCGTTACTACCGGATAGACACAACAAGTACACTATGGTCATCTTACTGCTGGTCATCTCAATCGTGATACTACTGCGACCTTGGAGGTGTCTGCAAAGACGCGCTGAACGCGGCAAGGCTCTGAGGTGGTGTGTATCGGGTAAAGTGCACTGGCCTGGGCGCGAATGAGTCTCAGACAGAAAAAGCGCTCAACGGTCAGCGTACCGTCCGTTCTGGAGAACCGATGTGCCATCGGTCCGCATTGGCGATCGCGGGTCTGCGTTGGGGCCGTACACACGAGCATCATTCCGTTGAGGGGAGCGCACGATGCGACTAGGCGTGGGTCGCGATTGACTGACAGGAGCGCCAGAGTCTTGGGATGAAGTCGAAGGTCCGGCCGACGGTGTGCGGGTGGACCGTCTTGGGACCGCTGAGCTGGAGGACCTCGGAGCTTCTCTGCCAGTGCTCTGCTCTGTCGTCGTTCGGCGAATGGGTGCAGAACTCGATATATATCCACGACCTTCGCAGTGGTCGCAGACACGATCACCTGAAGCAGTAGGCATCGTCTGAGTGCGCTGTATGCCTTCGGCGAGAGGTGAATCGGAGGAAGAGCCGATGATAGTACTAAGAGATTCTGTTCTTTGCGATAGACCCGGCGCGAAAGACGACTCTCTCGCATCGTCCTCAACGTCGGTGCTATCGAAAGGATCCATCATGTCATCCTCTGAGAACTGCAAGGTGCCGTCCTGCGGCGTACGAAGAGGTCGGCCTGAATGCAGTGAGCGGGTTGATCGCTCGGGGCCATGGCTCGTTGTACGTGGTGTCGCGTTGCGATGCGATGCTCTCCGGCGCGGTGTCAAGTTCACGCCAGGGCCCAATAACAAAGGAAGGAGGCGATCCCGCGATCCAATCGACTCTCGTGACACCGGTTCAGCGCGCGAAGTGGCGTTGCTTGACTCCAGTGATAGACTAGCAGCGATTTCTGTACCACGCATGGTAGACCGGTGTGATTGATCGCGCCGCCGTCTCGGCGACGAAGGTGTAGTGGGCACATCTAACACGATCTCTCTAGCATCTGTGGCTCGAGAGATTTCAGGAATTGGCATGCTGAATGTCAAGGATGATCTTGACGGCACGCGTGTCGATGCCTGATCGCGCCTTATTCGCGGAGAAGCCGCCATTCGGCGGTTCGAGCGGCTCCGAGTCTGTGAACCTCGAGAGTCAGTTCTTCCGGCGCCAATTCCAGACGGGACCAAAGCAGGCACAGATTGCACTTGTGAAGATGTTGTTTCCCTCGTCGTCCGTGAAGAAATACGCACGGCCTGTGGCGAAACTTCTACACTTTGTCGCCAGGAATTGACTGCCTCTTCACGAAAAGATCGCTCTGCGCCCCGCCTTTTTCTGCGATCCGAGGGTGGTTCTTAAGTCTGTTAGCGCAGGTTCAGCTGCACAGGAAGTAAAATGCCATACCATCCCGCCCCATCGGCGTAGGCGATGCTGGTACTGCCACGTCCCTTCCACGACGTATGGGAGGGCCGAACTGTGTGGAGGCATTGGTGTGAGGACTTGAGAATGCATACTCAGACGAAACAGAGTCAGATGGAGAAAGTGGTGGAGGCGGTACGCCATGCGATGGTGTAGTCCTTTGCCTTTGAGGCGTGCGGGCGTCTTTTCGCGTATTCCGTATATTCGAGACGGATGCAAGAGGTCTACGCGGACTTTCGTCGGAGAAGTCGTCTCGATTCAGTTGCGTGACACCAGTCGGCGGAGAGGAACTTGTCGAGACAGAGCCCGCCGTAGGCGCTGCAGTCACGCGTGATGGGTTCTCACGACCGCCGGTTTGTGCCAGGCGCTCGCGACGAGTACGACGGGGTAGGGGTGCAGATGTGCTGTGGATGATCGGGGTAGGCGGAGGAGTAAGGCGCCCTGTAGGAGACAACACCGCTGGAGGAGCCGATGCCTGTCTGAACCGGGCAGCACGATGATTCACAACTGTCGTCCTGCCCGTCGTAGGATCTATCAGTCTAACCAGACCGGCTTGGAGCATTTGATCAAAGGTTGATTGGGCGCGGGCTCGGGTTTGATAGCCCTTCCATACAGCTCTTGCGCCCTGAGGGATGTCGTGCACATAATGGGCCGCGAGTGGCCTGTGAGGGCAGGTCAGCCGCGCGCGAGTCATCGGTAGCAGCAAAGATACCAATCGTCTGCATCAAACACGCCGACCTCTAATCCTGTCGTGACTGCATACGCCGCATAACCCATTGAGAGCGCGTGCAGGCGCTAGGAACGGCGGCGGCGAGGGATGACTCCCGTGGAGGTCAGGAGCGAGACGCGTCGCGGTTCCGAACGTTATTAGCTTGTCCTTGTTTACGCGTCGTGGGCGTTCGTGTACTTGCGCGCGGCCCGGGCCTCTTCTTCGACCTTTCATAGCACGAGGCATTTGCGTGGCACTGGCCGACCACACCTCCATCCTTATTCCCGATTGAGACGTGGCACCGGATGCTTTCCATCTGGTTCCGCCCCTTGAGGCACCGCATTCACAGCCGAGTCATCTTCATCTTGCCTTGTACCACGCACGCCAAGGCTACGTAGCGTGCCATAGCGGTATGGGGTCTCTTATCGTCTTAATTATGTGAAGTAATGCAGATATAGCAGCGTACGAGATGCAGGGGCAATAAGAGGGTGGTTCATTCTCTAGACTCCTGGCAGGACTGTCGACAGTACGTATTGTACATTAACGACATGATATCAAGAATAGTGAGAGCACGCGCGGCAGCTGTGCAGGTTTGGCTCAGTTCAACAATGCTGAGGCTACAATTCTGAGTCAATGTTACAGCTGTTCACGAAAACCTTGATTTGGAGTTTTTCTTTTTTGCGCGCGCGTCGCGCTCAGGCATCGCGAGAAAACGCGCCAACCGAAACTGCGGCGGGTCACACTAACCTCCGTCACGACTGTACTGTACTATACCTTGAGAGGGTACGGTCGGCGATATAGCACTTGCTGCAGGTGGCTGGCGAGATGCTCTCAACGCACCCGAATGCCTGCACATCCCGGGGAAGGCAGTGTGCGATGTGCTCAGCTGGACGGCGCTCACGCGTGTCACGCGTCACCGGGCGCCACTGAGCCGCGCTCAGCCACGACACTCTGCCCGCGCTCTTTCCAGTCAGTCCTGCGAGCAGCCTCATTGATATCCCTAACGCTATCGCCGCGTATTCCAAAGGCGCTCATCAAACTCCTTTGCCGTTGAGAGCATCGTCGCGCACAGTTGCAAGCTCGTGAGCCATTATCGGTGCCCGTACATTTTCGCGAGGTGCCTGAGCCGCGAGCGCGACGCGCGCGCAAAAAAGAAAAACTCGAAATCAAGGTTTTCGTGAACAGCTGTAAGGCAGAAGGGGGCGGGCATAAGGACGGGAGAGACAAAGTTCTGCATTGAGGAAAAGCGGAGGATATTGCAGTGTGGGAAAATCGGGGATCGGCCCGCGGGAGGTCGCGGCGCCGCCGGGCGTCGTGTGTCGCGCAAGACCACCACCACCGAAGTTGTTGTACCTATGTTCACCAATCGCGCTCCGCACCGCGAGGTCCTAAAGTGGGGCTCATCGTCACGATAGCGCACCACAGGCGAAATCAATAGCTGCAAGCTGGGAGATTCCACAGACCACCTAGCATGTTTAAACGTGGCTGGGACCTTGCCTCGTATACGAGCAGAGATATTGGGTTCCCTTTCGAATTATGGATGAGATGATGCTCGTCCGGGACAGGAGACGGATTGTGCCACTACAAAGGACGATGCCGACTCCGGCTGAGGACGATGCGACTCGTGCGGCTTGGCGTCCATGCCTGTGACCCGCTGGGTATCGGAGCTGCCGACAAAGTCGCACGATGGACGTCCGTCGAGGCCGAGGGGCCTGCGCCAATAGACCGCGCGGCCGGCCTGAGTTTGTCGAGGGAATCGAGGGAGAATTGTATTGGGCACTCGTACTCAATACGTGATCCATGGGGCCCTTGCATGGGTAGTTGTCAACGTGCTCTGGTTCGTGCGCAGTGTTCTCGAAAGCGGCGTCGGCTCGAACGTTCCTGATTCAGGCTCCAGGGCGGAGACAAGAGGTGGCCTGAAGAGGACCTGCGCAGGCGGCGGGACTGGTGGCTACCACCAAGCGGCAGAAAGCTCTGTTCTTCAATGCTTGCTACCGCTACCAGCGCCTCAACAATTCTAGAAAGCGAGAAGAATGTGCGATATCAAGCGAGTGTATCCAATGTCTAAACCCGCATGAGAGAAGGTAAGTGCGCACAAGAGATTCATCGCGCTACGAATGCTGAACGGAAGTTTGGTTGATTGCGCGATGTTCGGGTTATTAAAGTTCACATATCTGATAAGCTCATATCTGATAAAGCTTGATCGTTCGGATCTGCGCGCTCTGGCCTTTGACGCCTTGGTTCTGTAGAACTGACCTTGTGCACACAGGGCAAACGATATTTAATGATTGCCTCTGGTTTCTATCTCGTCCTCCTTCCAGTGTGCCCAGTCAGGCAGTCTGTCCGTTCCCCCCAGACGTCGAGTGTTGCTTGCCTCGATCTCAGCAGCAATGTCGTTCCTCCGCAAACTGCGGCCTGGCGCCGGCACCCAGCAGGTTGCTATCGAACCGATGGTAGTCGAGGACAGCCTTGAGAAGATGGAGTCCACCTCCGACGTCGAAGCGCACAACCCCGAAAATGTAACCCCCGACCAAAATGCACAACGCGGAGTTCAGGAGATTGAAGCAGTGACGTTGGTCTGGACAAAAACGTCGTTAGCTGCCTTGCTCATCTGGTTCGGACCTCTTATTCCGTGGCTGATCATGGCTAACTATTGTGTCTCTTCACAGCATCTGGGTTCTGTTCCTAGTCAATGGGTTCAGGATCAACATCCTCGCGACTCTACTGCCCTACGTTACTAGCAGCTTCGAGTCTCACTCACTGTTGACCGTGATCACCATCGTGGCTAGCGCCATGACAGGGGCTGTATACATTCCCATGGCCAAGATGATGGACCTATGGGGTCGTGCGGAGGCTTTTCTCTTCATGGTGGTCTTGTCCACTCTGGGACTGATCCTCATGGCCGCGTCCCGCAACCTTGCCATGTACTGCGCCGCAGAGGTAGGACAGAGGCAGCTTGAAGTCTCAGGATTCCGATTCGCTGACAACGCCCTCTTCGACAGGTCTTTTACTCCGTCGGATTCGCCGGCCTCATCTACAGCATCTGCGTGTTCGCAACCGACGTTACGAACTTGAGGAACCGAGGTCTCGCGTTCGCCTTCACCTCGTCTCCGTACATGATAACGGCATTCGCCGGATCCAAAGCCGCCGAAGGCTTTCTCGAGCATGTTAGCTGGCGATGGGGCTTCGGCTGCTTTGCAATCATCGTGCCCGTTGTCACCGCGCCGCTTTATATGATCCTGAAGGTCAACCTCAAGAAAGCCAAGAGACAGGGCCTTGTATCGGACCGGCCGGACAGTACCCCCCAGACACTGATACAGAAAGTTTGGTGGGCTATCAAAGAGTTCGATCGTAAGTGGCCCCGCCTACAGCTCATCTCCGAGAAGGATAAGAAGCTGATGTTCGAAACCTCAGTCATGGGTGTCTTCCTCTTCGCCGCGGGTCTGGTCATATTCCTCCTGCCGTTTAATCTCGCCGCTTCTGCCCCGCATGGCTGGAAGTCGGGCTACATCATCGCCATGATCGTCGTCGGCTTCGTTCTCCTGGTCATCTTTGCCGTACATCAAGTTTATCTGGCACCGGTCCCCTTCCTCAAGCACAGCGCCCTCGTCAATCGCACTGTCATCGGGGCTTGTCTCATCGACATGACATACCAGATATCGTACTACTGCTGGGACAGCTACTTCACATCCTTCCTCCAGGTCGTCAACAACGTATCCGCTGCCAATGCTGGGTACATCAACAGCACCTTCCAGGTCGTGTCCGGCGTCCTGCTGTTCATCGTTGGTTACCTTATCCGCCGGACGGGCTACTTCAAATGGACCTTCTACTGGGCCATCCCTCTATACACCTTCACGCTCGGCCTCATGATCTACTTCCGCCGACCCAACCAGAGCATCGGCTACCTGGTCATGTGCGAGATCTTCATATCCATGGGCGGAAGCGTGTTCATCCTGAACTGCCAACTCGCTGTACTCGCCGCCGTCGAGCACCAATACGTTGCAGCTGTACTGTCGCTGCTCTTCGTATCTGGTAGCATTGGCGACTCCGTCGGCAGTGCCATCTGCGGAGCCATTTGGACCAATACATTCGAGTCAGCCTTGATACGCTACCTCCCGGAGACTGCCCTCGCAGACGCGGCGGAGATTTACGCCAGTATCACCGTTCAACTCTCATACCCTGTCGGTAGCCCCGTACGCCTTGCCATCCAGGAGGCCTATGGCTATGCCCAGACGAGGATGCTTGCCGCAGGCACAGGCATCATGGCTCTATGCTTCATCTGGGTACTCTTCATCGAGAACCTGAACGTTTCGAAGTTGACGCAGACGAGGGGTGTTGTCTTGTGAAGAACAACGGAACATTCGGTCCGGGCCTGCGAATCCGGTCCGCCGCATCCTCTGACTTTGCCAACATCCAACCCGTCTACGTCTACTACATTCACGACCAGTCAATATTATTACAAATGTGCGCGGGACTGTCTGCTGTATCTACCTTGCATACACGTGTATGCTTACGATTGACAATGAAAAAGCTCATGATCATCTCCTGTTTCGTCCGCCATCTTTTGTCGCCCCACGCCCCCCCTTCATCTATACTACCTATTCGCACTACTAATATAAAGATAGTAACTGACAACATGCATCTACAAGGCGGCCACCATTTCATCATTCCATGAACATACATAAACGAGATAAGCAGATTCCATCATTACGTGATAGAGTCACGAAATGATCACAAGGTTAGAGCAGCAAGGTTCTGGGACGGTGTTGGTCGTCCGAAGGGTGCGCTGAATGGTACGGTATTAGCTCCAGTCTGGTGAACAAGACTTGTCACATTTCAACGCTTACCTGCTGTGCTCGAACATCGGCACCCACATACTGCCTTGTACAATTGGAGATCGAGGGTCCTCGTTTGCATTATGTGTCTGGACCAATTCTTGTCCGGGCGATAACGAGAGTGGACTCAGTGCAAAGGGCAGCGATGCCGACTCGTCGGTGAAAGCCTGGGGCACAAGGCGACGGACCCGTCCCGGACCTAACGGTCGCAACCGGTTGTGTATCGGAACAGACGACGAGATGACACGATGAGTATCTGACTCTGGGGGCCTGGCGTGCGTGGACCGGGTTTGGCGAGCATCTGAACGAGGGCTACATCCCACGCTGGTTCCATGGTCCAAGGGCATAGTAGAATGAGAGGCGCTTGTAGCTCGACTCTCGGCAGTAAGCCAGGTCCCCGAACCGAGCGAGCTTGAAACCGTGCACTCAGAGCCGTCGTCGCTCTCGTCCTCCGACGAGCTACTGTTGATTTCGTAGTACTCTTCTGTGTCGGAACTCGAGAATGACACAGACCCTTCATCACCTCCCGGAATGCACCGGTCTCGAGATATTGGGCTGACTATGTTGGGCTGCGGTAGACGGCCGCCTGGCTGATACCGAGCTTCCAGTCCACGGTCGGACTGTTCGGATACCGGAGAGTGGGCGGTCGCCCTCTGGCGCTCGCGGTCGCGAGCTCCATGACGGGGTGTGAGGTTGACGTGCGGACCGACCAGCTGTTCGACCAGTCTGGTTTCATCTAAAGGCAGTGTTGATGGCGAAGTAAGTCTGGCAGGGGATGACACAGTCGTCCGTATATATCCACCTGTTTGAGTGTATTTTGACGCCGTAGCCTTCACACGCGGCGCTGGTGATCCCCTTCGAGCGCTGTGATGTTCCAACGACCTGGCAACAAGATGGCGATGCGGTGGACCGTCGTGTGTCTGGGCATCTGTCCGAGGGGTAGAGAAGATGTCGTCCACGGATGAGGCATCTGAAAAGACGCTATGGGAACGACTTCTCGAGTTCACGTCGCTGTGAAGCCCGAGATGAGCATCTGGTGTTCGAAGCCTTCGGTCGGCATGTCGGTCGATCTCCGTCTTGATCCGAGTAGAGTGGCGCGCGTTGCCCTCGCTACTATAGTAGCTTTCGGCATTCTGCGTCACACCGGTTGGGGGAGATGAGCTCGCGGAGGTACCGTTGGCGACTGGTGAATCGCGTTGGCTCGCGTATTGCGTGTCTCTGTGTCCACGGCCTTCCCGCGTTTCATGCTGCCTCACGTCATGCGAGCTGGAAGCACAATTGTGCATTGATGGCGGAGAAGCGTTGCGAGAAGGCACCGGACGATTCACCACACGGGTGGATGCCATGTTGGGCCGTGAAGCTGATGGAGGGTGTACTTGGGTTCTCTCTCCGTCTGGCCCCACTATCCACACTGACCGGTCCTCCAAAGCTTGGTTATATACGGCTTGGGCTTCGGCCCGGCTAGGGAACGATTCATGTATAGAGCCCGCGACGCCGTAGACCCGCGACGCCACTGAAGTCCTATGGAGGGTTATGAGTCTTCTGGGCATTGGTCCTGGCAGACAATCCTCTGTGTACCAGTTATCAAACAGGCCAACCTCAAGCCCGACAATGATTACGTATGTCTTTCGTCGCATCGACTTTATTGACAGCGTTGGCAACGATGCTTCATGCGCATGAGAATCGGGAGCAAGACACGACAGGACGCGATTGCCGCGGCGACGAAACCAAATATCAACTTTTGATCTTGTGACTTGCATTCATTGCTGAGCAGCGCGTCCACTCGCTTTGTTCTTCGACCTTGATACAAGGACACGATTTCGTCACGAGCACCCACAGCACGGTGCACTCGTGTGGCACCAGCCGACCACACATCGGACCGATCCGGAATTAGGTGTTTAAGCTTTTGCTTCCGCAACGTGGAGCGATTTCACACTCGAGTCAGTCCTTTAAAAGTATGGGCACGGCAAATCTGCCAGAGTCCTCGATCCAGTATGCATGGAAGAAGGGAAAGGAGTCTATTCGCTTTCGGGAAGCACGACCAGTACAAGCTTGATCGACACTGTATAGTTTGAGACTAGTGCCATGGGTGTCCCGTTTAGTATGCCAGGTCCTCGTATGGTCAGCTCAGAGAACATGTCATAATCAGATCCTCCCAAGCACGCCAGAAACAAGCAGAAAGGTACTCGAAGCGCAGCATCTCATCATAATGACTTCCACACGACAGTCTAAACCGATATATATCCACCCCTGCTCGAACTATGTCTTGGCCGGAAAGATGAGCATAAATGCGATACAACGTCTTGCAGCATGTACGGGACTTCTCGCCAGAAGTCTCGATGGCTGTAGCAGAGTGAGCGGATTGCGAGTAAGCTAGGGCAAATATAACGCACGGAATCAAATCATAGCCCGTCGCGCCGTAAGTGGCGTAATTATAGTAAGCGCCCAACCCAAAGTAGGCAGCGAAAGCAATTAATAATCTAATATCTTGCGCATCAGCAATGTCATGACGATGTCCAGAAGAATGCACATACACCAGGAAGAACCATCCAAGCGAGCTGCCCACAGATTCGCTGGGAGGTTCATGTGATGGTGGCTCCTCACCAGCCTTGTACGGGCAAGCTAGCTCGTGTCTCCATTCTACAACAGCAGTCTCTCCGTCATAAGACTTGAACTCCGGCCCGTTCTGAGCACCCGGTTCACAGAAGAGCTTCAGCGTGAAGGATTGGCGTTTCGAGTCTTCGTTCGGGTATGAAGCGCCTTGCCATTGCATCTGTAGACCTTTCTCAGCTGATGTGCGGCATGTGTCAGTTCATGAAGCAACCAGAGTGTGTACTGCAACGTACACTTCAAGGTGGTTATAGTGGGATCACTTGGGTTCTGGCCGACGGGAATGACGGATACGATGCGGTCGGGGTTCGTTTCGACAGTTTTGGTATTGATTGTTTTTAGACATGCAGCTGTTCCCCGAGGACACTATGAAGTATATCAAGAGAATGTTAAGAGGAGGCAAACTCTGAGAGCGCACCTGGTCATGATCTGCGACGTCGTCCTCCCATGGTAGTGCTTGACAAGGGTTGAATGACAGTATATCCTTCGATGTTGTTGGTGGGGTGTCTCTTGTTTGAAAGACGTCGTGCTTCGAGTCTAGCCCCGATAGATCGTACTCAAGCCCGTCCTTGGCTACATGGCACTCGGCCCGGACTTGTGCGGTGCAGCACAACAGGAGAAGTGCGCATATCGAAACCGTGGGATGTTTATGAAAGGTGGATGACTTTAGCATGGCTATAGCGTATACGAGGAGTAAATCGAGAACAAGGGAGCGCGGAGAAGCTGATAGGAGGGAACAAGGACAGGACGATGGGATGATGGTTACCCGCGAGTTGCGCCGCCTTGTCCGGACCGGGGACGCGTCCGTGTCTGACGCGTCGTGCTGTGGCGCCCCTGCATAAAGCGCGTCCAGGGTTACTTTCCGACCACCATCTTTCCATCGGACAGGCTCCTGTGAACACTTGTTGAATGGCATTCACCATCGAGTCTCTGATACCCCTCATACATCATGAGAAGCAGGAGCGCGGCTCGATGCTCTGTGCCCAACATGCTCTGAACGCCCTACTCCGTGAGTGTAGGTTACCCGAAGATCCATTGCCTTGCTGAACGAGCGACTACGTGCGCGTTCTAGAGGAACCAATTGTACGCGTACTGTGATCTTTCCGGTCGACTAAGGCTGACGACGTTCTCGGTGGCTCATCATAGTTCTCTGTCACGGATCTTGCCCAGATAGCTAAATCTCTCGATGATCTCGAAGATACGTATAATGAAGATCGCGGCCACGATAGCGTCAACATGGACGACAGTGGTACGTAGAACGTAGTTATAATGGCAATCATGCGCTTACCACTTCTGCCTCAGGCTTCTTCTCTGTTCAGGTATTGGAGAAAGCACTGGACGTCTGGGGTTTAAGGTAGGATTCACACTCGGTTCCAAGACGTCATGAGTATCTTACGGGAGATAGCCTCCCGCGCTGGGCAGGGGAAGAGATGAGGGAGTATCACGACCACCCTGAGTATGTTGGAAGTGCACTTGTACCTCATTGTGGAATGTTCGCTCACATTCTACTGCCGTGTAGGACTCAACTCGGATTCATCTTGAATCATCAACAACACTGGTTTGCATTGCGCCGTTTTGGCAACCTGTCTCCGAACCCGTATGAACCGGCTACGAATAGCCACTGGTTCAACTTGAACTCTTATCTCCCTAAACCAGAATGGGTTGGCAATGCGTATCTGGGAGCCCTTCTCGCTCAAGCCCAACAAGATGGTGATTGCAGCCCCGCTGCACATCATTCCATCCGGCTCACAATTTCCTAGGGTACTCTATATTCGCAGTTGTGCAGAAAGATCCAAACGCGCCTTTGGCCCTTCCCAAGACGGACGCGGATCGTCTTGCCGAGAACGTTACTCCTCCCAACGCAGCGAATACACCAAGGAATGCGACGACTAGCATACATCCCGCAACTGACATGCCAGAAGGCATGGAAGACGAAGACTACGAACTCCAAGCAGCCATCGCAGCCAGTATGGGCGGCGAGTTCTCTATCCCACCGGAGCTGGTCTCCTCAGGTGCTGGCCCATCAAATGATCCTCCTGCCCCTATGCCTGCACCCCCGCTCTCGCGGGAACCTCCGCGTCCGGCGTCCTCAATTCCAGGTGGCTATCCACCTGGTCTTGGCCATCCGATGGATGAAGATGAAGATGACGAGGACGACTTCGAGGATGTTGCTACGCTTGATCCCGTAGAGGCCTCTCGCCGGCGCAACGAGCGACTTCTCGCTCAATTCCAACGCGCACAGGGTGATGCTGTGCGAGAGATGGGCTTCGATGACACCGCACGACAACGTCAACTTGAACGTGAGGCTGAAGAAGCAGAGTTCCAACGGGTACTCGCAGAGAGCGAGGCCCTTGCGCGTGCACAAGGGCACTTCGAATCGCCACCGGGAGGTTCAGGCGCAGCAACGCCGGCACCTGCGCCCGCGCACACCGCTGCGCGTGTATACGACGATGAAGACGAGGAGCTACAAGCGGCTCTGCGTGCCTCCCTAGAGAGCGTACCGGCCGACTTTGTGATGCCTGAGTCGCCTCGCGCACAACGTCCTGCACCTCCGCCCGCCTTGGCTCGTCAACCGAGTACACGCAGTGAAGACAACGACGACGCGATGACTGAAGTCAGTGTGGCAACCGAACCCGAAGGCGAGCCAGAGCCACCTCGTCAAGAGCTTACGCCAGAGGAGATGCGTCGGCGTCGTCTGGCTGCGCTCGAGAAGCGGGCGGCGGGTGGGGCCGGCTAGATTTCTACAGCATTATCTTGCGCTCTTTCTTGAATAGACGTGCTACGATTTTCACGATTGCAAGATGTAAAAATACATGTACAGTACGTATACAACAGGACGCTTCCAGATGCGACAACAGCGGCACAATACGAATCGGAAAGGGCACATATCAGCGAGATAGCGGGACGACTGGATGGGGTACGGCGCTCAGCGCTCGATGTCAGACCCGGAAACCGGGGATGTGTGCCATTTGGGCGTAGCTCGGTGTACGGCGCTTCCCTCCAGCTGGCATCGCCTGTGCATGATGTCGCGTCAGAACTGTACGCTAACTATGCAGAAGGGGACGTTGACTCACGCGTAAGGACGCGCGGTATTCGCGGCACTCGGCCACGCTCGCGTATGCTGCGTAGCTCTGCAGTGGCGTAAAGGTGTTGGCCTATCAATGTAACGCGTGAGCTTCCATCGCGGGACGCTCGAATCGGATAGCGGACCTGCAGTTGCGAGCGTGGTAATCGGGGCATGGGCGTCGCTGGACGGACTGGCTGAACGGCGGTGTTCATTTTCACGTCCTGGACTGGAGCGGGTGTGGGTTCGGGAAGCGTGATCTCAAAGCGATGCGAGCCCATCTGGCAAAGTGCACAGCTCAGTCGTACACACAGCGTTATATACGTTCATCCTCCGGCAGGCTGCATTCACCTGAAACCCTGAATGTCAAGTCCGAGTACGAATCCAGCGACGCGATTGGCAGGTGGCTAAGCGCCTGCCCCGCTCAGGTCGCCGTGTTCGGTCGAAATCAGGCAAAGGGCTTTACCTATCATCGCCCGCTCTGACGCACACACGCTCGTCAATGTTCCATCCATTGAGCGGGTGCTCCTCGGTACTGAAGTCTACCCGACAAGATGCCACCATCTTGACAAGAGCTCCTTCTTGTGCTCTTTCAATCGCGAACCCGACGGGTGTGGGACCGAAAGATCGACGGGCAACAAGATGGACGGCGTCGTATTCTTGACTTCGACCATCGTGGCCGTAACGTGCGATCGAGCTTTACGATAGGGCGCGGGGTAGGCGTGATAGCAGATAGCGCTGCTCACCAAAACGGCAACGATCAATACACTGGGCGTGTCGTGGTCTCCGTAAGCAGAAGGGACTGGGCGATGGGCTGGTCCGTAAGCAGGGAATCGGCAGTCGGCACGCATGCCGCGGAAGGGTAGCACGTTCACAGGCTGTATCAAGAACTTGCGAAGGCGTGATCTACGTACGGAAGCCAGCCATACAGTGAACGAGATAGCACAATAGCCAATCGTATGAAGTGAACAGAGCCTGCCGATGCAAGCAGATCAGCAGTCCGGTGAGCACAGCGGGATGTGAGCAAGAAAGGCAAGAGTAGGGTCCAGGGTAGCAGACAGTCCATAGACAATGTGCTCAAAGACTACTATCCGTCCTCTTCAGCTTCAGCTTCAGGCTCAGCCTCGATATCTTCACCCCTCTTGACCCTCTCAACAAGCTCTTCGATCTTCGCCTTATGCAACCGCGCGTGTTCCTGCCATCCTTTCCACGGATGATGTGGATGCAACCGCGCAAAGCCCTGATATACCACATCGCTGGCACCGGCAGGCTTATCCGGGTCCGCCCAGAACTTCGCCAATAAGACATCGTCTGCGGAGGAGTAGCGTAGTCGCTTCTCTGGAGGCGGCGGCGGAGGTGCGTTGCCAGAAAGAGCTTCGCGATGTCGGCGGTAGAATTTGGCCCAGGAGGTCTTGGAGTGGTGAGGCGCACGACGAGCGAGCTCGGTCCAGAATTCAGCTTTGTCGTGCGATGTGGCGTCGGGTTTGTGTCTGCATCGCATACGAGGGTCAGTACTGTCGAGTCAAGGAAGCCAACGCGGGGATAATACATACTTCCTGTACTCGAGGAACCGTAGGAGAAAGACAACATCGCCATCCGTGAAGGCCACGCCCTTGCCCGTCGTACTTCGAAACAGCGCTCGCGGCGGCGTCGGGCTTCGCGAGCGCGGACCTTCCCGCTCCACTCGCGCTCGTGCAGCGGCGATCGCTGGCATGCCTTGTCCAGGGCGCGACGCGGCCTTCTCCGCGTCCTTCGCATTCTCCATTGCTTTGCCGCGCTTGCCCTTGGCCTTAGCTGGAACGGGCGACACGACACGCGAGCGGCCTACGGCATCACTCTCTTCCTCCTCCTTGCCCTCGATGGGTGGCGCAGGCGGGAGGATGGCACTCCTCTCGCTCGCTTCTTCGGCCCTCACGACATACTCCTCGACTGCAAGCCCCTTCTTACTTGCGTATCTCTTCCAGCTTGCCACACTGTGATGTTCCGCCTTCTTCGCCACCCTCTCGCATATCTCCTTCAGAGAGAGGATCTGGGAGGTCGCGGAGCAGTACTCGATGTATCGCGTCAAGTAGCGGTGGTCATCGGGCGTGAAGACGTGTCCGCCGTAAGGGGATGGGATGACTGATGTTGGCGGTGTCGGAGAGCGCGACGGGATGCGGATGAGCGGAGATGGTACGAAGGCAACCGGTGAAGGCTGGGCGGAAGGGGTACCGGCGGACCTCTTGCGTTTCCGGCCGCGCGATGGTTCGGAATCGGCGTCGCCGGGCGTTGAAGGCGTAGCAGAGACGGGTGGCGACAGCTCAGTCGCAGAGGGCGCGGAGTCCGCTAAGGTTGATGGCCCAGGTGCCTCATTATACGGTCCCGCAGTGTACTCGAACGTCTGAGGGCCCGATGACCCCGAGTAAAACTCGTAGTTGTGTTGTTGCTGCTGAGGCTCCTGTTGCGCCCACTCGTATTCTTGGACCTGAGGTTGCCAATCGTTCGGCCCCGGCCCCGGCGCCGACTGAGCCTGCGTCTGATTATGGTCGCCTTGACCGTATCCATGAGTACCAGAGGGCGCAGAGGGGTTGACGTTCTGGAAGGTGGGGTCCGGAGGGAGGTTGGGCGGCTGGCTGAGGTCCTGGAGCTCCGGCGGCCGTATTCGCATTTGGTCATCTTGGACCTGAGGAGGTTGAGGCAAATTGGAGGCGCCGGCCGCGGAGGGCGGCAGCGAAGCTTGATTGCGCGGCTGGGGGTGTGCGAAGTGATGCTGCTGTTGTAACTGTTGTTGTGTTTGCTGTTGGACGTGCGGCTGCCATTGCGCGTATGGATGTTGTGGCGATGGGTTTTGGGCGGGATACAACGAAGTGTAGGTTTGAGAGTGCGCCTGAGGGTGAGGATGCTGTGACTGCGGATTGAGGTCGGAAGCGGGGAAGTGTGATGGGTGGTTGGCAGCTGTAAGACCGGAAGCGTGATGTAAGCGCTGGTCTGTATTCAACGAAGTCGGATGCTGGGTAATGTGGGTGTAAGGCTGTCCTGTAGTTGTATACGAATGGCCTGTACTGCTCGATAACGGTTGGACAAGAACGTGCGGAGATAGCTGAGGTGGCAGATTCGGCGACGGCTGAGCGACGTGCGCATGCTGAGACGTCGAAGACTGCAGTTGAGCGGCATGCGTAGGGTGACTTCTGGTGACAGGGAAGTACGCTTGCTGGTGGGATGGACCAGCTTCAGCCTGTTGCAAATGAGGATAGTATGACGAGTGCGATCTTGGAGTCGGTTCGCCCGACTGAGGTTGTGCTTGTGGCTGAGGAAGTGCAAGTCTGCGCGGGTCGAGGATCAGAGCTACTGTACGAGCATTGAGGGGGACGGCACAACTCGGCACCCGTCACTTTGCATCCTGCCCAGCTCGTCTGGAATGTTTGCAGAGCATGAGCATCTATGCATGCGTGGATCCAACGCGAGTTGAGGATGATCTTGTTCTTTTTTGCGCCATGTTGACGGAATACGGCTTGACCCGACTCTTTCGTTGGATCGACTGTGTGGCTTACGTGTCGGTGTAGGCCGCGGGCGACGAAGTGCATATGGCTTACCGATTATGAACGTTACATCAGAGAGGCTCGTAGCGAGAGCGCCACCGTAAACCTGAGCCAACGAGTATGAGCCGTATGTCCGATATTCAGCGAACAAGAAGACAGCGATCTAGGCTAGGCGACTTCGAACTTCGAAGAACCCGAGGAGCACATGCACGGCGCCCCCGAAAGATTTGTGCCCACTGCGAGCGAGCGGCTAGCACTGGGCGAGCGGAGAAGTTCCAGGCGCTGGGCTTGTCGGGCCGGCCGCGGGGATGACTGGACCCCGAGGACTGCTTTCGTGAGCGTTTACACTGACCGTGAGGAGATGAGCCAGCTGCGGGCGTTGGGGGACATCCTTGTGTATGTACACTTGGAGGGGCGTGCCGAGAATGGGATCCGTAAAGATAGCTGTGGGCGTGACCGTCCTGTCTGAGAGGGCTGAGGACATGGTGCGGACAGCCTGCCATGCGGGAGGAGGAGGGGAGGGATTACGGGGGCCTTGATCGCGTATGGAGAATCCGGATCTTTGCGAAGTGATGGGCTGAGCGGCTGGGCCGCGAGTGCGGCGGGCGGCGGTCCAGTCTTAGTTTCTGGGTGTTGTGCATGGCGACTGGTGCTGTATCTGAATTGGACAAATGAGATTGTATTTGACGTCGGAAGGGACGGATGGAAGGAGGGGAGGGAGGCACGAACGAAGGCGGGGAATGCTTACGTAAAGGGTGTCGTACAAGGCGTGGGAGACCTTTGAGTTGAGCTGTGGGTGTTTAGCGTTGGTTGGAGCAGGACGACAACCAGGCCGTCAACGATGAGCACAGCCGCCGCTCGCAAGAAGAGCGTGGTGGAGATGCCCGTCGCGCACAACACGCTGCTCAACAAGGCGGCATCCCAGTCCACCTCCCTCTACCAGCAGTCCGCCGCCCTCCGCGCCAACCTCCTCCGCGTACACCGCTTCCACCTCTTCTTCCAGCTCTCAGAGGACAACCCCCGCCAGTCCACCGACCCCGTGACTCAGCTCTGGGACTGCTTCGCCCTCGGCGTGTCCCTATGCTACATCTACAACCTCCTCCCACACTCGCAGCATCGCCCCATCGAGCTCGACGTCGACCCGGAATCGGACGGCGTCCGCAACCTCGCAGACCGTGACCGCAAACGCGCGATTGCATTGTTCAATATCGCATCAAAGTCGCTCAACTACGGAGACGGTCTCCAGGTCCGCGACATCTGGGAGCGCGAGAACACCGACGGCTTTGTAAAGGTCGGTTTCAGTCAAGCTGTGATTAATACAATATATCTAATCGGAACAACAGGTCGTCGACGTCGTGAACCACATCGTATCGTTGTTGCCGCCGGATGTGTTCATCGAGCAGGAGGCGTCCTCTCCCGCCCTCCCGTCATCAGATCCGTCGGCCGTAGCGACGACATCAGCCACCCCCGCCAGCGGCAAGGAAGCCGCCCGCAACAACATCATCCGCGAACTCGTAGAGACGGAGCGCAAATATGTGCAGGACTTGGAAGTCATGCAGGTGCGTTTGATCACGGTCTAGTGGCCCCCTTTGCGCTCGCTTACACAAGATCGCTATTGTCCCATCCAGAAATACGCCCAGGCTCTCTCCCAAAGCAACGCAGTCCCACAGGACACCGTGCACCTGCTGTTTCCCAACCTCAATCAGCTGCTCAATTTCCAGCGCAAGTTCCTCATCCGTGTAGAGGGCACCGCGGAGATGCCGTGGCACGATCAGCGATGGGGCTCGCTCTTCTCAAACAACGTGAGTGCGCGCGCGCCTCTTCCATTCCCACTTGTTCTCTCTCCGGTCTCCCCATTGTCCCCGCAACAACCGGCGTTCTTGTCCTTCATCCCCGCTGACTTTCCTGATTTGGCACAACAGGAAGAGGACTTTGCGGTCTATGAGCCTTATTGCGCCAACTACGTCAATGCGACCTCGCTCATGGCCTCCGAGGGGGAGAAGTTGATGGTGCGTACTCTCGTTTCCCCCGCTGCGCTGCGCTTCCTGGCAACCAGAGAAGCGCGGCGGGCGGCCCGTTACCACATTCGGACCACGCGGCTGACTGGGCCTGGTGTGCGACTTTGCACTTGTCTCCCAACAGAAATACAACCATCTCATCAACGTCAAATCAGAGCTGCCCGCCTTTCTCATCAAGCCGGTCCAGCGCATCTGCAAGTACCCGCTTCTGCTCGATGTGAGTACACTTCACCCGTTTGAATCTATCAAACTATGATTGCGGTCCACGCGGTTCCGTGACGTGCTAACGCCCTTGTCCGTCCAACAGTCCCTCATCAAGGCATGCTCGCCACAAGACTACCCTCACTATGATGAGCTCAAGGAGGGCAGCACCGCGGCCAAGCGCATCACCGACAAGATCAACGAGGCGCAGCGGCGTGCCGAGAACTCGCTCACCGTGGAGAATCTCTCCGCTCGGGTCGACGACTGGAAGGGTCATCACGTTTCGCACTTCGGCGACCTTCTCCTCGACGACGTCTTCACGGTCACCAAGAGCGAGGTCGACCGGGAGTATCACGTCTTCCTCTTCGAGCGCATCATCCTCTGCTGCAAAGAAGACCTCGGCCTCGGGAAGGACAAGCGCAGCAAGTCCAACTCCATTCTCAAGAAGCCGCAGACGCCCGTCATCCCTCAAACGCCAAATCCAGCCGGAGGAAACACGAAGAAGACGACACCTTTGATCCTCAAGGGCCGCATCTACCTCAACAACGTTACAGACGCGAAATCAAATGTCGCAGCCGGCTCGTACTCACTGAACATCTGGTGGAAGGGCGACGATGACCTCGAGTACTTCACACTCCGGTGTCGTAACGAGGAGCAGGTCAGGCAATGGGAGACATCTGTCAAGCGCCTCATCGACCGCCTGGCCATGAAGCGGGCGAGCGAGCGTTCAGTGTCACGGCTCGCCGGTCAGCTGGCCGCACAAACGCCGCGGACGAGCATATCGATGTCCATGCCTGACCGCGAACGATCGAATAGCGTCGTGCCCTCGCTCCCGCCACATCCTTATGCCGCGGCTCAGGCAGCGCCACAGCGCAACACCTACCACCAGCCCCAGCATCCGTATATGGCTGCCGGCGCGCCCGGGGAGCCGCAGATCTCCGTCAACACGAACATGGGTTACGGCCAGAACGGATATCCTCAGCAAGACGGATTTGAGCCCGACGATGAGTACGAGGACTACCCGTCGCCCCTCGTCGGCTCGGGCCGTGCGACGCCCATGGACCTTGCGAGCTCACGTCGCGGTACCGCACCCAATCTCGAGTCTTTGGGTTATGCTCCTCCATCCGAGCAGCGGGCACCACGTGCGCATACGGAGGATGCGAGCGGCGCGATGTACCGGCAATGGCAAGCGCAGTACCCAAACGGGCATGGACCACATCACGGGCATCCCGCGGCCATGGTCCCCGGACTTCCCGCCGGTCCTAGGATGACCGCGGGAAGCAGGATGAACTCTGCGCAGAGCTTCGCGAGCGATTCGAGCTTCGGATCCGGCGTCAGGCATAGCACCTCGCGGCCACAACTGAGGCAACAGATCAGCCAAAGCCGGCTTCGTCAGGATCAGCAACAGGAGCGCGCGGCAGCGCCCAGTCCGGCGCCCTCACAGTACCAGGCGCATCATCAGTCTATGCCGAGTCGCAGCCGGAGCGCGAGCCAGCCGAGCGCTTACATCCCCAAACATCCAGGGCAGGCACCGCCTTTGCCGCAGACGGATTGGCGAGGAATGGGCATTGAGAGGGGAGGGAGCAGTGCGGGTACGAAGAGGAGTAGTGGGAGCAGTCACTCTACCGGTACCGGCGACGAGAGCTATTCGCCTGGAGGCAGCTCCCCTATAACGCCGTTTGGGAGTTCGGAGAGCAGTTTGAGTCAGGGACCTGGGACGCGGGGAAGCTATGAGCATCATGCTACTGCGCGCGGGCCGATGATGGGACGGGATAATGCGCCGGTGAAGGTCAAGGTGCACTTCGGCACGGATATCTTCGTCGTGCAGGTCCCGAGGAGTACCGAGTACGCGGAGTTGGTCGAGAAGGTCGGGAAGAAGATCAGGCTATGTGGACCCAGGAGGGACGATGGGCCGTTAAGGGTCAAATACGAGGACGAGGAGGGAGACTTGGTTAGCATGCGGAGCTCCGAGGACGTCGAGATGGCGTTCGCGGCGAGGACGCAGGTTGTGCTGCACGTGCAATGAGTGCTGCGTACTGCTACGGTCTACCTCGGCGCAGAGCGGAATATCCCAACTAGAACTTCTCGCGCTACCCCCTTACCCTGATCCTGACAAAACCCCGCCGCTCAACGCCGCCGACAATCGACTGACATCTCGCTCTCACTCACTCTTCGGCTTCTGCCTCCGGATCGGCTTCGCCCGCCGTTGTTCGCTTCTACCTCTGTCAGACTCTGTGGCTTTCTCGTTTTCGTTCCTTCTCATCTCATATCGTACTCGTACCCCTGCTGTATCAGTCTTCGACCCGTCTATGCGGATCCACACGCTCCTATCAGCTCTACTCCCCTGGTGTATCTATCTTCCTCCCCGATCCTCACACTCACTCATCCTACCCTGTCTTCTCTGTCCTCCGCCGACACATACGAATCACGATCACCCTCTCACCCACTCACCGCCCCAGTCATACTCGTACCCGTACCATTCGCCGCGGGCTGGCGACCACACTCGTTAAGCCCCCTTCTACGTTCAATATGTACATATTTGCCTCCCTTCCCCCGCTCTTCTTCTAGCCTCCTCTCGGTATCGATATCGTACAGACTCTCCCTCTTCGCTTATCTCGTGAATTTCTTCTCTGACGCCCGCTCCCTATTCCTGACCTGATATGATTTTCTCTCCTCCCTGATACTACTCGTACCAGTATGCCTGACCCTGTGCCGCGCGGCGCTCACTGTACCGACACCCCCACCAGAGTTCGATCTACTTACTTACCTACGTACACATCTTTCGAGCTAGCAGATAGTTGGTCGCTTAAGATATTATCGATTGCGGAATTTTCTCTCACTCTTTTCCAGGCTTTCATAGCCGGCGGTAGCGATTGCTGTTTAGAGCTCTCGAAGACAAACCTTCTCCAATCTTTGTTCGCCGAAGATACGCTCCGCGCGAACTCTATGGATGCATTTTTTCTTGTGCGCTCTAGGCTTTCACCAGCGCTCAAGGAAGAAGATTGCGAAAGATGAGCATTGTTCGATGCGCTGCCTGTCGTGCAAATGAGAGCTCGCCGTCGAGGAGAATTGGCCGGCCTCGGCCCAGAGGCGTGCCTTGATTCGCGCGCGGGTTGCGGGGTCGGGATAGACGCGCGCCTGCGTCATTCCCGAGGCGGGAAATGTTGAAAAGAAAGCGACGCGACGCGTCGAACTGCTCTCTACCCCGGACTCCCCATCCCCACCCAATCATGGCCGTCCGGAATCTGCAGCAAAAGCTGTTTCGCGCAGAGAGCGGCTCGACGCCGTCTGCGAAAGAGGGCGAGAACGGGAATAAAGACGCGGGGAGGTCGGACCCGAAGTTGAACATCAATATCCCCCGGGCGCCGCCCGGTGCTGCTGCCCAGGCCGCGAACCTCAAGCTGCCGCCAAAGCTGAGCAGGGGCGCGGACGAGGCGCCCCAGCCGGGCTCTGATCAGCGGCCGTACCGCGAGCGCTTGCAGGAGAAGCTCGGCACCCAGTACGAGGGCGTAGAGCGCTATCGCCTCGAGCAGGACGAGAAGAAGGAGCGCCACTGGAAGCGCTGGGGACCGTACTTGTCTGATCGCCAGTGGGTATGTGAAACACTTTATTTGATCTGGCCGAGGAATGTATCGCTGATTGATACTCAAAGGCGACCGTTCGCGAAGATTACTCGGACAACGGCGACGCCTGGGCGCATTTTCCGCACGAGCACTCTCGTAGCCGCGCTTATCGCTGGGGCGAGGACGGTATCGCAGGTCTCAGCGATAACCACCTTCGTCTCTGTCTTTCACTCGCGCTATGGAACGGCGAGGACCGCATGCTCAAGGAGCGTCTCTTTGGCGTCTCTGGCCCGCAGGGTAACCACGGCGAGGACGTCAAAGAGGTCTATTATTACCTCGACAGCACGCCTACGCACAGCTACATGAAGTTCTTGTACAAGTACCCTCAAAAGGCATACCCGTACGAGCAGCTCGTTCAGGAGAACCAGCACCGTGGACGGGACGTCGTCGAGTACGAAATTATGGACACTGACGTCTTCGACGAGGATCGTTACTGGGACGTGTTCGTTGAGGTAATCATTCTGATCTTGAAGCATCAAATCGGCGCTGACGTGTATTGTTCTCCCACAGTATGCCAAAGACGAAGACGCGCCAGAAAACGTTTACGCCCGTATCACCGCTTACAACCGTGGTCCGGACCCTGCGACGCTGCATATCATCCCACAGCTCTTCTTCTCGAACACTTGGTCATGGCCGCTGCCCGAGCCGACGCGTCCGGTGGTCCAGGCGACGACAAACAACCGAATCACCGCTACTCATCCATCGCTTGGCCGCACGCACCTGTACTGCTTCCCGTCTCCCACGCCTGTCGGCCCTCACGGCGAGCCCGTGAACGAGAACGAAGACGAAGATGAGAGTATCGAGCCTGAGCTCTTGTTCACCGAGAACGACACGAACTACCGCAGGTTATGGGGTGTTGAGAACAAGTCGCCCTTCGTTAAGGACGCGTTCCACGATCATATCGTGCCCCAGCACCGCCCGCAGAAGCTTACTGCGATGCACACTGGCGAGCCGGCTGCAGACAAGGTTGGCCAGGCTGTCGCCGGGGAGGATGGTGAGGACAGCGGTCCTCCTACGCCTACTCCCGAGCCAAGCTTCGTAAACCCGGAACGCAAGGGCACCAAGTCTTGCGCACACTACACGTTCGAGAATGTTCCCGGTCGCGGCGGTTGCGCTGTTGTCCGTCTCAAGCTTACCCCTGGTGGTCCCAAGACCGACCCGACGCTCGAGGATGAGGGTCTCTTCGACGATGCTATGGAGGAGCGCCGCGTCGAGGCTGACGAGTTCTACCACGCGCTCGCCGGTAACTCTGTTACGGACGACCTGCGCGCGATCATGCGTCAAGCACTTGGCGGTATGATGTGGACCAAGCAGTTCTTCAAGTTCGTCACGAAGGACTGGGTCGAGGGCGATGCCGCTCAGCCGCCTCCGCCACAGTCGCGTCGGTACCACAAGAACGCGCGCGAGTGGATGCACCTGTACGCGGAGGACATCTTGAGTATGCCGGATAAGTGGGAGTACCCGTACTTTGCTGCTTGGGACTCGGCGTTCCATTGCATCCCGCTTGCACTCGTCGACCCGGCGTTCGCAAAGAAGCAACTGGACTTGCTCACGCGCGAGTGGTACATGAAGCCTGACGGACAGATCCCCGCGTACGAGTGGAACTTCAGCGACGTGAACCCTCCCGTGCACGCCTGGGCCACCTTCCGTGTGTTCAAGATCGAGCGCAAGCTGTACGGCCGCGAGGACGTGCCATTCCTCGAGCGCGTCTTCCAGAAGTTGCTCATCAACTTCACGTGGTGGGTCAACCGCAAGGACGAGGGCGGCGCGAATGTGTTCGAGGGAGGGTTCCTGGGCTTGGACAATATCGGTCCTTTCAACCGTTCGGAGCCATTGCCTACGGGTGGTACACTTCGTCAGGCGGATGGAACAGCGTGGATGGCGTTTTATGCTCTCAACATGCTGAGCATGGCGCTTGAGCTTGCGAAGCATAACGCTGTTTACGAGGATATGGCGTCCAAGTTCTTCGAGGTATGTCTCTTGGTTTCTTCTACACAAGTTCGAGTTAAGCTGATAACCATTCCCTATAGCACTTCATCATCATCGCCGACGCCATGACCTTTGCGCAGGACGGCAAGTCCGTCAGCCTCTGGAGCGAAGAGGACGGGCTCTACTACGACGCCATCCAATGGGGCCAGGACAACGCGATGCAAGTCCCTGTTCGCTCCTTGGTCGGCCTCATCCCGCTTTACGCCACTCTCACGCTCGAGCCGGGCGTCGTTAACAAGTTCCCGGGCTTCAAGAAGCGCATGGAGTGGTTCATCGAGAACAGACCGGAGAGCCAGCGCAACATGGCGAACATGCGCCGCCGTGGTCGTGGCGAGCGGTACCTGCTCGCGCTCGCGGACAAGGACCGCTTGACGAGCATTCTGCAGAAGATGCTGGACGAGAACGAGTTCTTGAGCGAGCACGGTATTCGCTCGTTGAGCAAGCTACATAAGGATAAGCCGTGGGGCATGGAGGTCAACGGGCAGTACCACGAGGTTGCCTACTGGCCTGGCGAGTCGCATTCTGGCATGTTCGGCGGCAACTCGAACTGGCGTGGTCCTATCTGTACGTTCGCTTTCCTCCATCGCTCGCTGTAGGATTACTGACACACACTGTAGGGCTGGCCGTCAACTTCTTGCTCATCGAGTCGCTCCAGCGCTTCTACCAATACTACGGCGAAGAGCTGCAGGTCGAGTGCCCGACGGGCTCCGGCGACTACATGAACCTGCTTGAGGTCGCCGAAGAGATCCAGCACCGCATCATCCACATCTTCGGACGCGACATGGACGGGCGCCGCGCGCTCAACGGTGGCAACGTCAAGCTCGACACGGACCCGCACTTCCGCGACTACGTCTGGTTCTACGAGTACTTCCACGGCGATGACGGCCGTGGGCTCGGCGCGTCGCATCAGACGGGCTGGACCGGTCTCGTCGCGTACCATATCGCGCAGAGCGGCGCGAGCTGTCGGTTGCCGAAGACGCCGAGGACGCCGAGGAGTCTGGCGCAGCATTACTTCGATGAGGCCGTTGACTCGAGAAGCGAGTACGACGATGCTAAGAGCTTGATGAGTGCGTACTCGACGTACGACGGGGCGAGCACTCTGGGAGATGTGTCGCCCGATGCGCTTTAGATGATGGACTGTACCAGGTTTTTGCTCCTTTTGCTGTTGTTCCTCTTCCCTCCCTATGCACGGACTGGAGGTAGATGTATGTGTGTACATTAGATGGTAGATCTTCCCCCTCGCTTCCTCGCTCCCTTCGTGATGCTTCCCTAGTCTGGTTTCCGTTCTCAATTCATGGCCTCAATCACAATCACAGATGTCTGTAGACGCACGATTACAGTTCCATTGTCTCCCACTCGTATACGTTGTTTGGAATATACGTACAAACGATTCCTCGTTCTCGTCGTGGCTATCATACCCAATTCGATGTCTCTGGATCTTAAGAGCACTCGGTAAGGCTCGGGGTCTGCTCGGGTTTGATGTAAGTACTTATGCCCTTCGAGCAGCTTTCGGGCGTCGGGCCGGGCTGAAGTGCGTGGGCGTGATGCGAGCCCAGTGTCAATTTCGAAGTTGGTTTCGTACCATCATCACTTGCCAGAAACAGTTACGAGCTCGTGTAGCAGCTACAATACTCTATTCTCGACGCTCTATCGTGTATTTCGTGGCACGTGAAGCGTATCAACCGATTGGATCCGACATGGATGACGAGACGATCGAGGAAGCTCCGTTCGTTGCCCGCAATGGATATCTGGTCTGTCGAACTGATTGAACTACAGTACCGTTGTACAGTCGCAAGCAGCCGACGTCGAAATCTCCGATTGGACCTCCCGCAGTCGCCTGAATGCTACTCGACCTGTGGGACGACTTCCTGCGGAGGTCCTGTCCCTCATTTTCCTCATATATGCGCTCGAGAGAATACCTTCACTCTCCATCGCGCGAAAAGCCCAGGGTCTTGTCTTGCGGGAGCAGGGCTCTGGCTGGCTCGACGTCACACATGTGTGCCGCGCATGGCGTCACGCCGCGCTAGGTTATCCCGCTCTGTGGTCGTGTTGTGTCATCCCCCTTGACTTGGGGCAAGATTGGGCACGGGAATTTCTCACGCGATCGGGGACGACCACCCTCAGTGTGACCCTCGACATAAGGGATTTCAAGAGCCGGGCGGTTCCAACATGGGTCCAGGACCTTCTACGGCCTCATCTTCATCGTACCGGTCAACTACAGATCGCTTCCGGAGAATGGTCATCCCTCAGGACACTGGATAATATCGGGGATGCCGCCCTTCGTTTGATCGAGGTCGACCTATCATTCGGCGATTGCTATACTCTTGTCCCTTCATCCAATGCAATGCGTCTTCTGAATGCTCCTAGTCTCGCCTCCATTAGGCTTCAGAGACTGACTTGTGATTTCTCAAGGGTCGCATGGCCCAGTCTGCGCACACTGAACATCCAGAGCTCAGACATCAATTCCAAGGAGATATTACAGGCGTTGAATACTGCGCCTTTTCTGGAGGATGTCTTCCTACATAACGTTCTGTCCTCATCTTCGGCACTCGATCCCTCGCCACGGGTACCCCTTACCGCACTACGTCGACTCACAGTGATGGGCGACGGACCGGGCGTCATGACGGTATGGAGGGGTTTGATCTTGGCGCCTTCGGCTTCCGCGACTTTTGACATGCATCACTATCCCATGGAACATGAAGATGTCATCGTGGATGTAGACACCGTCCTACATCTCATCCGCGCGCACTCGGAGGCTGCCTTGACCGCAGGTCGATCGCTTGTCAAATGCATGTTGAAGGTCGCAAGCGATGTGTCGCTCTCGGCTTTCGACAGCTTCAACCGTGACGATCCGTTCGACTCCGAGATCAATGAGAGCGAATCGCAGTCCACCATACTGCACGCTTTCATACCAATTTTCGCTTTGCCGGACGACACCGATATGACCTCGTTCACCCAGGCCATTCCTCTCGGCGGTTGCGAAGTCTTGGATCTTGACACAAACCATCACGTGCTCTCACTCGTGATCTCTCATCCGTGCACTACGAACGCATGGACCACCCTCATACCACAGACCGAGTCTATCAAGATACTTCGCATATCCGGACCCGGCGCTTTCACTCTCGCCAAAGCTGCCGTCACCGGCCTGGAGCGTGGGACATATGAGACGCTATTTCCTCATCTTCAGGATCTTTACCTATACCGGATCTCGTTCGCGGGCCAATACCAGACATTGACCGCGAACGATACCCCATCCTTCTGCGTCGCACTCCTCCTGTGGATCAACTTGCGCAATCGGTATGGGCTCACGCCCATCCGTAAGCTCGTCATACGGGAGTGCAATTTGTACTCCGAATGGCTGGCTCCTCTGGAAGCAGTTGAGCATTTGATCGTTGACTGGGATGGAAGTCCCGGTTCCTGTCGGGGGCATTTGGACGAGGACGAGGAATGACTGGAGAAGGCGCGTCGAGATGCTATGTATTACAATAGGAGAAAGAGATATTTTGCCGAGGGCTTAAGCTTGAGCGACACCATACCCGTGTAAGGTGCCGTGTCTACCCAATGCAAGTGAATGCTGTGAGAAAGACTCCCTAGATGCTCTATTGAGACACGTCAAAGAACGCGGATGACGGTGCTGCTGTTGCCTGCTGCACTCGTGCACGGTTTCATACTTCACGTTACAAGCCGCATAAGCTACAACACCTGCGCTCTGTAGCAGAAGTCCTTGCCCGTGAGTGCCGCGTAACCATGGGCCTGTGGAAGTTTGACGTTCGCGCGCAGAGGCCGACGTGACAAGCACTGTGACAGGTGTTGCCACTTTGTTTACCGACCACCATGTCCGACCAACCGGATTACACCGTCGGTACGCAACTGCATCACGTTTGGCTCTACTTTAGGAGGTCCTTACCGGTCTCTCGCAGAGGCTGTGGTAGCTGCACAGGTATTCGTTGTAGGGCACAAGCTCAAATGGGTACGTTACATTCACGGACAATCACTCGGCTCGTCATTAACATTCCTGCTCTAATTTCAGAAATATCGCGTCAAAGTATGCATTTCCTCTGTCATGCTGTCCCCAATGTCCCTCTACTGACAGACCAACCAGTGGGAAGGTTATGACTCGAGCGAGAACACGTACGTGCCTGCCTTTTTATGAGTGATGATATGCTCAGTAGCAGTATAGCTGGGAGCCGGCCGAAAACATCAACCCGTCAGACGCTGACGGAGACAATGTCGAAAGATTCTGGACACAGGCTCCGGTCGACGGACGTAACCGCGTGGACGTGAAGGCTTGGAAACCCAAGGAGACCGTCTGGTTGTCTGATCGTCTGGCATTGGAGGACCCTGCGTGCCCCCCACAGCAGCGACGGGTCGAATATACTTCGCGTAAGTAAACAAGATAGTGTGTGTCTTCATACTCACTGGATCATCGAAGACACGCCTCGTAGATCTACTACAGGCTCGGCCTCCCGCCAGGCAAATATCGTCGCGTCGTCTTCCTCATTACTCAGCACCTCCAAGCGCAAGCGAGCAGACGAAATGACACTCACGTCTTCGTCCACGCCCACGTCTACGTCCAACTCAACAAAGCGCTTGCGCTCTTCCACTTTCAAAGCCCAGCTTGAAGGAGATACAGTATCTGGGCCCCTGAGAGCGCTCAGAGCGTCTTTACCCCCTGTAAGCCTGTCTATATGCATCACTGGTCCCGAAAGCAATATTCAAATTCATGCAGGCCCAGCACTCGAAAGAAGGGATACAGAACGATGGAGGCAGCGGAAAAGGCCCTGTTCGGAACCACAATGTCAGTTGTAGTGTTGATGACACATTGCGCCGCTTACATAGACCCCCTCTGTCGTTACAGGCAAAACCCATCCCTGGACCTGAGGCTCGATGGTTGACCTTCGCGGACGAGCAGCTTGATATCGTTAGGGCGGGTCCGTCGGCTATCGGCGACGGAGAGCTTGTGACATTAAAGAAGGAGAAAATCGAGCGAGAGATACAGGCCGCTCTCGGTGCCATAGCACGCATGCGAATGCGTGGCAACCAGTTGAAAGCTGTCTACAGGCTTCCACCTCAAGTTCTCACCGCCATCTTCGCCATTCATGCCTCGCAGAACCCGCCGGCAGCGAGCAAGCGCGGCAACGGGTGGAGTAAGAATGAGCGACGTCTCGGATGGATTGAGGTGTCGCATGTCTGTCGTCCTTGGCGTAATGCTGCGCTCGAGGATCCTCCACTTTGGACCGACATCCCCTATCACGACTTGGGCAGCAAATGGGCAAAGACCTTTCTCGAGCGCGCCCAGCGGCACAGCGATATTATCCCGATCAATTGGCAGATGGATTCAATCTCCCCAAAGACACCGTCGTCGTCTATGTCAGGCCTCCTTATGGATCACCTGCACCATGTGCATAAATTGCGCCTGTACCTTCCGTCTATTCCATCGGAGATGAAATGGATACGGAATCTCGGGCAATCCGCACCCCTCCTCACGTCTCTGCATCTCGAGAGCTCCTGCGACCCCCCATTCCTCCTTCCGGCTACATCCAAGATGCCCTTTTCTGCGCCGCTTTTGGAAACTCTTACGCTCAAAGGTCTTTCACCTTCTTTGGGTGGCGTCACGTGGACCAATTTGTGCTCCCTGTCAATTGCACACGCCGAGCTACATTTCCCCGAGTTATATGAGGCCCTGTCCTCCACAACACACCTCGAGCGGCTGGCACTTGAACGCATCGCGTTGACCGGAACGATCGAGCCCCCCTATCGCATCGCATTGGACATGTTGAAAGCCGTGGAGCTTAGCATGGACTGGCGTTCATGTGCTGCGTTGAGTAATGCACTGACCATACCAGTTACTTCGTCCTTCGCCATCAGCTTTGAAGCAATGCAGTCGTTAGGCCTCGATGGTTCACAGACTGCGCTCAGAGACGTTTTCTCAGTCATCCAAGACCGGTTGCGTTACCTTCAACAGCACGACTATCAAACCCATACCGTCACCCTTCACGAGGATTACAGAGGAATTTTCACCATAGAGAGCAAAGACAAGACACGCGCTGTGCAACGCTGGGCATACCACAGCAGACCGCCGGGCGCAACAAATTCCTTCAAGATCGCTGCAGGTCTTAGTCCGTCTATGCACAATATCGCCACCATCTTCCCCTTGCTCTCTCTGGACCGTTGCCGCTCCTTGTCGGTGTGTTCGTCTACATTGTGGACCGAAGATGCGTGGGTAGCGGTTTTGCCCTCTACCCGGCAGTTGAAGACGCTCGAGATCTCCGGGACCTGCGCAAGGACTTGGATACAAGCCGTCGCTGCGTCTATTGAACGTCGCGACAAACCCGCCCTTCTTCCGCGACTCGCAGAATTGGAAGTGGACTCCGTCAACTTCGATGACTGGCGCTCTGCCACAGATCCGTCCAAGAAGGTGTTCAAGGATCTTTTGAAAGCATTCCTCAAGAAGCGAAGCGGCCAGAAGCACATTGCGCCTATCAAAGACCTCAGCATCAGAAGCTGCGATGTGTTAACGTCAATGATCAGCAGCTTCAAGAAGATACCTGGACTGAAGGTGGACTGGGATGGGGAGAGTGGTGACCTATGGGAGGAAGACCGAGAGGAACGTTGGGATGACGGCGAAGAGTTCTCGGATTATGACGGGTACGAAGGATACGGCTTGTGGGCATGAATATGTAATGGCCGGTTTATTTCTGACATTGTAATTGTGTTGCACGGACTGGCTTCCAAATCTTGAATACACGGACCACAGCACAGATCTCCCGAACTAAGTGCCCAGGACTGAACTATACCACAGTGCCCAATCGGTACTCGTTGAACCCCTAGTCATGTGGACCGCTCGATATAATAATTCCAGAGGGTATTGTATTCGATTCATTTATAATACCGGAAGACTGCCAAACGTGGTCATCAATCATTTGCCGCCGGTCGTCCCCATGCCCATGGCCATCTTGAACGAGTCGAAGATCCACCACTGGAAGCCTGTTCAACGCCATGAGTCACTGTTCTGGCCCCAGCAATGCCTGTTCTGAATACTCACCAGTTAGCGTGCCAATCATGACCACACGCGTCCCCAACCCCTTCGTGGCAAGGTTTCCGAAGCCAACTTCCGACACAATTTGGCTTACGCCCTTGCCCTTGTTGTCTGTCTTTCCCATTTGAGAGACAAGTGAGTCAGCAGGGTGCGAGACGAGAGCGCAGACGACGCCGGCAATGTATCCCGAGGCGAAGGTGATGCCGAGCTGGGTGGGCTGGTTGTAGGTGTCTTTCGGGGCGGTGAAGACGTGCGTGTAGAACATCTGGACGATCTTCTCGAAGAAGCTGTGATGAAAGGATCAGCGTCATTTCCAAGGAAATGAATAACTGATACGCACTAGAACTTGGCCATCGTGTACGGGATCTGTGAAAGAATCAGTCGCTTAGCTTCATCATAGTCTGCAATGACTGACCTGGCGCGACCACAGTGGCACAAGCGACCCAAAGGGGAAGCGCGTCTCCGCCTTGAGCGCCTTCATTTGCGCCATAGCGGGCCCAAATCCGACGGGGAATGTCCCCGACGGACTCGTCTGAATCTTGACCTTGGCCATCTCGAACGGACAGAGTGCGATGTCTGCGATAACCTCGGCCGACGCCGAACCCGCACACCAAATAAGACCCTTGTATTTCTCGGTAGCCTCCTGGCCAGCAAGATTCATGTACTGATCCTTGAAGATCTCGTACAGGCCGTACTTGAACATCCCTTGGAAGGAGTAGCCGACGAGGGTAGGGCCGAGGCCTTTCCAGATCAGGCCGGAGCCCTCTTCCGCGGCGATCATGCGCAAGGCGGAGAAGGTGCCCTTGTACTTAGCTGGGTTGACCTTGCATGCTGGTCAGCAGTGGGGAGAAGAGGGTGCGGATGCGGCGCACCTGCATGTTGCACTTTGCTACATCGAGCGGGGTGATGGCGGCGTGCGTAAGGCCACACGCCAGAGCGCCGCCAACAAAGCCCTTGGCATAGTAAGAGGTATCGTGTGGTACCGTGCCCAAGTAGCTGTGTGCGGTAGGTTAGTGTACCGCGCAAGATGGACCAGCTGGACCACGAACCGCGCATCCCATTTCGCTGTGGCACCTTGCGTCATATTAGGCGAAGGGGATTACTCTATGGTATTTGGGACAGAAAATAGGCGGGGCGAGGGTGGCAGTCGTAGTGCGGACGAAAAGTCAAGTCTCAGGAGTGGGAGGTATGTGTGGGCTCTATGCCGACCGTCGACGTAGGCCTTTTGAGAATGCGGCGAGCGCCAATGGTAAAACAGATACGGTTAGCCTAACCGAGTTTCTCGTCAGCGCCATTGACAAATCACGAGAAAGATCCCGTTCACGAACCTAGGCTGACCATGTATCCAACCGTATGCGGGTACCTATAGGCATCAGATCAGTCATAACCCAGACTGAATGCCTTGAATACCAAGTTATAATGGCACAGTGACGCGAGTGAGAATGTTGCGAACGCTCCTGAATCTCCACAGCGAGAGCGGCATGAATATTTGAATGAGCTCCGGTATCAGCGCTAGCAAGTATCGACTGCGGTACCGTCTTCGGAATTTCCTACCGACGCGAGGTACCAGATGCGCCCCTCCCAGGGTGCTCGCCGCTCGGCGATGTTGTTTCCAACGACCGGCATAAAAAGGCTATGTACATATAGCAACATGCAGACTTTCATCTGCAGACATGGTCCACTTGGTCGAGCTTGCATCGTGCGCCGTTGGCCGGTGCTGACGGTGCATTGCGCTGGAGCGCGACTTGACTACATACTATAACATGCTCAGGCCCGGGACGTTCAAGCCGAGGACGGCCGTCCTCCAATGAATGTAGGCGAACGGAACCTCGTGGGCCAGGCCTGAATATCTGCAGCGCAGATCGTTGCCTCAATGATATTTGTCACACGAAGCGAGGCACATGTTGGCCGGAACGAAGTCGCGGCTGCGCGCCCACCGGCGCGTCTCGCGAGTCGAAAGCGCGCGGAGGCGGAACTCTCACGCGTCCTTTCTCGCCTCTTGCAGCCTCCATGCAGGCCGACCGCGACGGCGAACCTTCGCGGCGGCGGTCACTCGACTTCTCGGACTTGGGTGACGATGATGAAGTCGCCGCTGGGGAACATCCCGGGGATTATTCTGCGCGAATGGAGGAACTGTTCGACGATGATGAGGACGAGCACATTCGGCCGGCGCGTACGAACGGCGGGACGCATCTGAGTGATGACGAAGAGGACGACGAGCCATTTGTATATAATGGTGTCGACGCGGAACCCCATCCAATATCCTACCGTGACCAGCTGCGAGATGTGCTGGACGACGACGATGCGTCGGGTTCGTCCGAGCGGGAGGTCGAACATTCATTATTGCAAGACGTGGAGGAGGAATTGCCTTCGGTCATAATTGAAGAAGCACCTGTGTGTATATTCATATCTTATCTATCACACGTTGTACTCACGCACACACAGCACCGAGACGTGCTGTCCGACCACACTTCATCTGCCGCGCCGTCCTCGACCTTCTCGCCCGCTCGCGGGTTATCGCCTCTTCCCAGTGCTCTATCTGCGAACATGCCAAGACCATTCTTGCACCCGACAATATCTCGACTTAGGTCAACTCGGCCACCTGGCTCACGAGTAGCCTCATCAGCCTCTGTCGGCACTCTGAACGTCAATTCCCCTTTGCCCTCGCATTTCTCAGCGCTCTCGCCTTCGTCATCTTCGGCCAACTTGCCTGCCGAATTGGGAGACTCTAGTACGACAGAGAAGCGGGATATAGCCACAACGGCGGCTGGCGAACGAGAGGTCTTCCGGTGGACCTCGCTTCACGTCATCTCTTCGCAGATCCATAGCAAACCTACGGCAAAGGCGGCTGCTATTCTTGGCGCTGAAGGCGCCGGTGTACCGCTCGTCATGGCCGCGAACGGCTTGATCTGTATTGGCACAGACAAGGGTCGCGTGTTCGTGTACGACTTCAAGCAGCAGCTGAAGTGCGTTTGTGGCGACGAGTCGATGGGTCAGTTTATCGCCCTGGATAGAGGATTGCCTGAATTGCATGTTGACGTTATTCACAGAGTCGACGGTTGGACCCGTGACCGCGCTCGCCCTTTCGCATGATCACACATATGTCGCCATGGGTCACGCCCGGGGTCATATCCAGCTCTTCGACCTTGCGAAACCAGACAAACCTGCGCGCTTTGTACCTCCCACGACTTTTGCGGCTGTCGCTTCTGGCCGAAAGGAGGGACACTTGGAGGGTTCACGCATCATCTCTATTGGCTTCGTCGCGGGGCGCCATACGGCCGTCGTGACCGCGGATAACAACGGCCTGTCGTTCTATCATAGTCTCGGCAAAGTCTTGTTTGTCGATGCCACGGACGTCATCCGTATACTTGGGAAGTACCCCGAAGAAGAAGGCCTTGCACCTCCCACGCCTTCGCATGGCGTACCTTCCATGTTCAGACGACGACGGACTCGCAAGACGAACGCGTTATTGGGGATGGCTCCTCTTCCGCTTGGCACAACCGCACATCCAACCGACACGTACAACATCGTTGCAATGCTCACGGGCGCGAAACTTGTCATTGTTGGGTTACGACCATCGCCGAAGACGTGGTATCGACGACATCGTGAGGAGGATGAGGAGCGTCTGGGCAAGTCCAAGTTCCGCGGCACACTCGCATGGTTTCCTGCCATCCTTGCCGGAAAGCCCGACGCCGCATCGCCGGCTAAGAAGTCAAAGAAGGATTCCCCTCCGGATACGACCAATCCGATGCTCGTATACTCGTGGGGCGCCACAATGAACCTTATACGTGTATCCGAGACGAAGGTCATCGAGGAAGTCACGAATCAACGCACAGGCAAGACCGCGAAAGTCGAAGTTGGACGTTTGACTTTTGAAGAGGCCGCACGCTGGAGCGCGCAAGACGACGTACTGGCCGTCCAGTGGCTGAACCACAAAGTGGGTTCGTTCACCTTCGCTCTTCACGAGTGTTATTGAAACGCTGAACAAGGATCGTGCTACAGCAAATCGTCGCCGTCACATCCGGAAGCATCGAGGTCTACGATGTGGGTAGCCAGAAGATGGTTGAGCATGTGCGGTTCAGCTCTTCGGGGCTTGTCAGTCCCACGCTGGGGCTCACGGTCAATGGCGCTGTGTCGTACTCTGACTCGCTGGGCGACATCGCACATAGTGTGAGGGCTTACAAGGGCAAGATCTTCCTACTGGTAAGCGTTTACATACATGATCATGTTCAAACGAGTTGACTAAGGATGATGGTGCAGGGCCGGTACGACGTGCAAGTCGGGACTCTTCTGACATGGGCGGATCGCATACTGTCATATGTACAAGAAGGCGATTTCCTTAGCGCAATCGAAATGACACGAACGTACTACGTCGGTCAAGCGCCCGGCAACAAGAACGGTCTGCCCGATGACCCCGCCGAACTTCGCACGGTCGTAGGCGGGAAGATGCGCGAGTTGATGGTGGCGTCCATGCGCTACGCCTTCTCGCCGGACCGTATGACCGACGCCACACACTATACGCCCGACGGGCGCGGTGTGGACCGCACCGACCTGTTTGAAGGCCTGGTCGCGACATTCGCCCGCGCGTGTATCGCCCTCGACGATTTCGAGCTATTGTGGGAGGACCTATTCCAGGAATACGATGATGCGGGGATCGCGAGAATATACCTCAAGCAACTGGAAGTCTTCGTATTCGATAACGATATCCGA